AGGTAAAAATTAGTCAACAGGGAGCCAAAAGTCCATGGAATAGTCTTGTGGGCTCCCATAAATTTTCTTGGACACTTGCAGTTGGGTGACATGGATGGTGTTGCCCAGGTGGCACTACTGGTGTTGCCCTTGCAGGGTGGGCGACACGGTTGGTCTCGCCCAAAAATTTATTATTTTTAATATATTTTTTATATTTTTATCTTGTTAAACTTGATGAAATAAGACAACTTTAAACTTGGAAGAAGCAGGAAATAAAAAAATTTGTGATGAAATAAATTAAAATAAAGTAAAATAAAAAAGCTTAGATTGAACTGAAAAATATTTTTTTTGTATTTTTAAAAATTTTATTTTGATCTGAATTGCTTTTATGCATTCACAAAAAGAGTCCCTAGAACAGATCCACAAAGTTCCAGAGGTTTCTGAGACCTTTGAATTTGGGCAACACTTAGAGTGTCGCCCAGAAAAAGTATGGTTTCGGAGCACTGAAACCCTGGATTTCTGGTCACAGCCAAATTTTAGGACCTTCTGTGACTGAAATAAGTGAAAAACAGTGAATAGAAATCGTATTTTGAAGCTCGGATCAAGCTCGAAATAGTCCCACGGTGGGTGCCAAACTGTTTACGATGAAAATCTGATAGATCTATCGATGAAGATCTCTCGAATTTTAACACCTTCAACTAATTAAAAAGATGTAAATAAAGTGGTAGAGAAAGTGGGACAGATCAAATTCAGATCTGAGGCCAGATTTGCCCAGAAACGAGTAGATCTACTCTCATATATGTGGCAGAGCCAGCATGATCCAGAGCATTAAAATACGATTTTTAAGACAAGTTAACAGATAAAAAATAAATAAAAGAAGAAAATCAGTAAAAATAAGAAGAAAGAGAGAGAAAAAAATAATACTAAACTAAGCCGGAGGGCTCGAGATTCCCGAGCATTCTAGGGCTCGCCGGTATCAGAACCGGTCCTCTTTGCCTCTTTGATTTGGATGTTGGCCAGCATATCTCTGGTGTAAAGGGATAGATGTTGTGCCCTAATTTTAGTTTTAATCTAGGGTTTTTGTGCCCTAGGTCTAGGTTTTCTCAGTCTTGGGGGTTAGGACTTCAGGAGGCTAGGGTTTCTATCTTCTTTAGGGTTTTCAATCTAAAGACTTTTCTAAAGTTATCGGTCTTTCTGGGATCTAGAGGAGATTTTCTCTAGTTTTCTAAGGGTTTTGTGATTTTCAGAGGTTGAATATGAATTTTGAGATTTTCTCTAATTTTTTGAAATTTTTTTGGGATTTTTCCTAAATTTTTAGGAATTTTCTAAGGGTTTTTTCTATTTTTGGTATTTTTGGGCCTATTTTTGGTATTTTTGGGTAATTTTTCTAATTTCGAAAATTTCTAAGGTTTTATTGGTCTATTTGCTCTCTCCTTTTGGGTTTAGGGAGAGGGAGTATTTATAAGATTCAATTGATGATTTTTCTTAATTTTTTTGAAATTTTTTCAGAAGTTTTTGGATTTGTCTTGAAGTTTTAGCCTTATCTAATTAAAGAAAATGTGTTTACTGCATTATCAGATGTGTTGACTGCGTTATCAGTTCGCGTCTGGCCCTGTCAGGCCTGTTACAGCCCGGCCTACGATCCGATAGTTAGGTCTCATAAGGACTAAATTGTCATTTTTTATATCTTTTTATCCGTAAGTCCCATTCAGACGATTCTTAGAACATTAGAAAGCTCTTGGTCCCTATTTCAAATTGGGATAGGATTTGGGTAGTTTTGGGGTAATTAAATTGGGTATACTAGGATAATGTGTTTCTAAAAGTTCAAAAAATCATAGAATTTGTCAGATTTAAAATGAGGTGTCTACAATTCGATAGGGCCACAATTATCAAAATATTTTCCAAAAAATATTTAAGGTTTGGTATATACAAGGTGGTTTTTGCCCGAGGGGATAGGTGTACAGTTTACTCCCGCGGGTATTTTTTATTTTTTCTATAGCATATGGGTGTTTCAGTCATTTTGGAGTTGTCAGTGGCTGCTGTGTGTATCGTTGTCCCGCTTAGCACTGCGGAGTTCCTCTCGACTCCGGATTCTGGAAGGTTCCATAAACCCTAGAAATTACCCTTATATCACTAAACCCTAAATCTTTCTGCCTCAACAACTCGAGCTCTTGAGAGGGAAATATCAAGAGAGAGAGAGAGAATGTACAGGCTTTCAAGGCGCCCCATCTACGCTGCCCTGCGTTCTGGAAACCCTACTCCATGGCAATCTTCTCATGAGTTGGTAATCGTTTCTCTCTCTGGATTTCTTCGAATTCATTTTCCTTTGAATGTGAATCATTTGCATTTTTATCATTCATTTTTTTTTATGTTTTTCCTCTTTGTGGAGCCATCAGTCAACTATACAATTGGCATCAGTGAATTGCAATTACTCGTTGTTCTCACTCTAAAAATCTTTCATTATGTCAAAGTTTTGATGCTCTGTAATCCATTGTTATTGTTATTGCCTAAAATATGCTATTTATTGTCTAGTGCAAATAAATTCTGAATGTTTGAAATGTGAAAACGCCGTGGTTGGGTTTTTCTTGGTTTTTTCCTTTCTCAACAAAATCATCTGAATTTGAATTATGTTATTATTTTCCCATGTATGGCAAAATTTCGTCATTTTTATCATCTGACGTTTATTTTATTTTTCAAGCATGCTAATTTGTTGCTTTCTTTGCTTGTAGATTCTAATATCTATTTTCTTATTAAATGGTTTTAGATCTGTCGATCAATATGCAAACACTTCAATTCAATGTTTATTTTAATCTCGCTTGCATTTGAATTCTGTTATTTCCACTTCTTGGCCCATTCTGTACTTTTACATTATATCATGTTATTTTTCCTTCTCTTTTTGCTTTTTTGAGATAGCAAGATTAATGCAGTGCAGGTTTTTATTGATTTCATTAGAAAATCTATCAAAAAATTTAATTTTAAAAGGAAAGGTAATATGGTGGTAGAAAGTTTAACTTTTATCTCCCCTTTAGGGAAACAGTAGTAAATTGTGCTGTAGGGTTTAATTTTTTGGCTGCTTATTCTTGGGTTTGTCGTTTAGTCTAGCAATTTTCTGGGAATTGTTGGCATGATGTGTATTAGGCATTTGTTGTGAACTGCGTATGAGTGGACTTCACTACTGGTGTTTCTACATTGTTGCATGTTCAAGAAAATTTAAAGATTCTGCTATTTGGAGGTTGAGTTGCTATGTGCAGTTAGCCATCTATGTGCAGTGACTGAAAATAAAAATTTGAAATGGAAAAAATGATAAGAGATTACACACTTAACTTTTGTCTTAAAAAAACTACAGTTTTAAGGTAGGGAATGTTGTTTGGCACTTCTGTATGATTAATAATTCACATTAATGTGCTTTAACTATTGGGTGCGGTTTTGTATAGAGCCTAGGCTCTAAACAATCAAATTAGAGCCTACCTTCAAATAGTGTCGAGAAATGTGGTTTCAATACTGGAAATCTTTTTGATAGCCTTAAAATATATTTTCATCTTTATTTATAAAGTTTAAAGCTTCAAAAATAGTGTAGATCGAGAGATCTATGAAAACTCGAGAATCTTGAAAATCGACGGTCCAAATATGCGTTACAAAATACACTATTTTCAATACTTGAAATCCATTTTTTTCTCATGTCCATCCATCTTAATGTCGAGATGATTAATTTGAAGATATTTGGGCATCACAACAACCTTGTTTAGTGGAATTTTTGAGGTAAGCTCGAATTTGATTGTTTAGAGCCTTGGCTCTATATAAACTTTTCCCTTAACTATTGATAAGGAATTTTGATAAACACAATACGTTTATATGATAAAGTGTAACTTACATGCACCCCCCAAAGACGAGAAACTCTATTATTCTTTGGAAGGGTGGTTTTCTTCTTTCTACTTTCCAGAAGGAAAGTATCTCTCCAATTTTTATCTTCCTTTGAATTGCTTAAAACTTGAAATATTCATGAAAGGTTCAGGTGGGTCCTCTATCTGCACCTCCTGATTCATAAATAACAGCTGCAGTAGCTTTAGGTTACTCCATTCCTTTCCTCAAAAAAACAACAAATCCAGTACACTTAAAACATGCTTCAGCATTACTTCCTAAGGAAGGGCTAGACCACTGCAACATTTCCATATCCCAAATATTGTTTACTGGTGGAGATTGCTGAGGCATTGGTCTCTATATATCTCTGTTTCTGAGTTATAAATAATTCAAAAGTCCTGTATGTTTTCATGTCATCCATGGTCATAGCCCATCACATGAGAACGTATAAGCAAGTGGTATGTAGTCCATCGTCAAGTAGGTTCTGAATGCCCTTTGCTTGTGCATTGTTTCTTTTTTTGCTATCTCATTGCACTGAAATTGCAGGTTGTGGAAAATGATGCCAATCCTTCACAGCCCCAAAATAGACGCCGGTTTTCTTTGTTAAATACAGCAAAGACTGACTTAGGGACAAATTCTTCTAGACATGGTTCTGGATATTCTCAGTTGCATTTCTATTTTGGGAGACCACTCGGTGCTGTCAGATATGAGGCAACTGTAGCTGCAACTGATACTTCAAATCCCACTGCCGAAAAATTTGAGTACCAAGCAGAGGTATGATCTTTACTGTGAGACAATGGGCTGATCATTCAAATTAGCAAGTCGGTATTCTGGTATTCTTAGTGGTCATTCGATACTTAAGTTTTCTTTCTTTTTTTCTTTCTTTTTTTGTATAGGTTAGCCGCCTCATGGACCTGATTGTTCATAGTTTGTACAGTAACAAAGAAGTTTTCCTTCGGGAATTGGTTAGGTAAGCTTGGTTATATATATATATATATATAGTAACTTTTATCACATTATTGTTCCAGTCTGTTATTGTTTGAAGGATACTTAGTTGTCATCTTTTATACCAGCATTTCTTAGTAATAGTTGCCCATTATTGTTTGTAGCATATATATATATATATATATATAGGGATAATCTACAATTTACGACCCTTCGAAATACAAAGGTTAATGTTAGGATGCATGTGAAGTGTGAATTTACCAACTATGGGTTTTTTTTTTTTTTTAAACGAGTTAGTTTTTATAGTATCTTGCTTATCAAGTAAGGGTGCATATATAAATATCACTAAAATGCATTGCGTACTTTTGTCATCTTCATAAGGCATAAAGTCAAAATTTTAAAGGAAGGACAAGGGTAGTCTACAGATAAAGTTCCAAACACTAACATCCAAACTACCATTATACTTCTATATTTCAAATATACCCTTAATAATTAAGTTACCTATTAAAATAATTCCTTAATCAGAAAGTATTGATTATTTTGATCAATACACCCATCTCAACTCATTCTAACTAAGTTTCATCCCAATAATATATACATATGTGTGTGTGTGTGTAAGGTTGGGTTTAGCCCACGGGTTAACAGCTACAGTGTTAGCCAATAGCCCAGATTGAATTTGGGCTGATCTGACAATCACGTTCGTATTTGAATTTTCAATTTTTTCTTTTACCAATTCAAATCACTTGAAATTTTAGGTGTTCATTCTTCTCATCAAGGCCCACCTAATAAAAATATTAAAAACATTATTCGCAATATATAAATTGATCAAAATACCCCTGAAAAGTTTCAAGGTATTTTGGTCAGCGTTTTTTTTCATATTATTTTTTTAATGTTTTTCTTAGATTCTCTTATTTTTAAATAATAGATGCTCAAAATTTCAGGTGATTTGGATATGTAGAAAGCAAATGAAAATTCAAATACAAAATACAATCGTGACCATTTGATCTAGCCCAGATTCAATCTGGGCCATTGGCTAATATTGCAGCTGTTAGCTAGTGGGCTAATGCCAGCCTTTCTATATATATATATATATATATATATATATATATATATATACTATATATATTATAGTAATATACTATATATATAGTAGTTAGTTTAGGTTTAGGGTTTACGTTTACTTACTACTTATTAACTACGTACGTAACTAAAGTTTAGGTTTAATTT